AAAAAAAATCATAGAAAGTATATATAAAACATAAAATCAATATATAAAATTTATATAATGTGTTTGTGTTTTAATTTGTGGATTTATCTCAATATATATATCCCATTCTTACATTATCATTTTCTTTATAGATATTTTTGAGAAGTTTCATTATAAATCAAAATTTCAAAATCATATTTCTGAGTCATTTATTTTCATGCCTTTGTTTCACTTTTACCAATTTTTTTTTTTTGTTAATTTTTGAACTTTTTTTTTTGAAATTTTTTATATTTTCTAGGTATTTTGGTCCTATACATTGCTAGCCGAGTCCATTTGGACCTCATAGTTAGTTGGATCGGCCCAAGGTTGGGTCGAAAGTCCAAAACAAGTTTAAAAACGTTGATATAGGCCCCAAATCAAGTTTACCTAGTAGTTAATATTGGGACATGTAGTTGGCCATGAAGCCTCACATGTGCCATGCTTTTTTTAATTTAATTAATATCATCTATATTTTTCTTTAATTTAATTAATATTATCTTAAAAAATATAATGTACAAATTAGTGTTTATTTCTATTGTGTTTTTTCGGATAATTAAGTGGGGAAAACATGCCCCTACCCTTTTTTTCAAGTAGATTGTTTTTTTTTTGGATAATTCAGTGGGGAAAACATGCCCCTACCCGTTTTTTCAAGTAGATTGTTTTTTTTTTGGATAATTCAGTGGGGAAAACATGCCCCTACCTGTTTTTTCAAGTAGATTGTTTTTTTTTTGGATAATTCAGTGGGGAAAACATGCCCCTACCGGTTTTTTCAAGTAGATTACGAGTTAGCTCTTTGAAGGTATTAATAGAGTGGTGTTAGTGGTAGGAATGAAAACCACAACATGGTAACTAGGGTGTGGGTTGCTACCACCACCACTCAAGCCCTATTCCCAAACTCTAAAATATTTTTTAAGATTTCATAAACATGGAGAGGAACCCAGAGAGAAACTACCTCTATAAATTAATATTTCATAACCATGGAGAGGAACCCAGAGAAAAACTAAAGTGTTCTTGATAGTTTTGAAAAAGCCATTTTCGATTTATAGTCTAACGACAATGCCATCCATAGTTTTCGAACTAGGGCGAGTCAACTCGGCTCGGTTGAGTTCCTCGGCTTCACCCCACTGTCGAGGCCGAGGGGCCTCAAGTCCATGGTGCAGTAGTTGCTGGTCCATTCGGTGAACAAGAATCACTGAAAAAACGGAAGACTCGGTCCAAAAAACATAAAACTCGCCCGATTTTGCGCTATTGGTGGATAAAACGCGTTTTTCATAATAGGAAACTTTTGTAAACTGAAAATCTGAAATTTGGGAGTGATTTTGATCGAGTTTTGGAAACTTTCGATGTCTTTAACAGAAATATTATCTTTATGATAAGATTTGGGTTTATCAAAACCCAAATCGAACAACAATTTATCAATAAATTATCTGGTTTTTAGGGTTCTGCACTCATCCAAAGAAAATCCTCTAATGTCTTCCTTTCTGTCTTATTTGTCCACAAAATTAATTGATTATGGGGTTCTTTTCAATATATTGAAGTTATCTACAAAAGCCCTCTGCTTATTCTCGTGTTTATCAAGTTTAATTACCTTAAACTTCATTGTTCTTGCTTATTTCTACACCAAATCAAAAGATTTTGGCTTGTTTTTTAAGCTTTTGAAATCAGCTTCAAGGGCCCTATACGGATCAATAGTTTTCGTTTGCCATTATTGACTGATTTCGTGCATCAAAGAGGTAACGTCGTTAGTCTAAGAAAAATTACCAACTCTATTCTCTCTCTCGCTAATTACTCCATAACTTTTATGATATTTAGTTTATTTGAAGCTTTTGAAATCATCTTCAAAAGTCCTATACAAATTCATGCTTTTTTTCTCCAATATTGATTGATTTCGTGCAACATAGAGCTAATTTAGATGAACAATCAAAAAATTAAAAAATCTAATATTTTTCTCTAATTTATCAAGAATAATGTTTTGATTATTATTATTTTTTTAAGATATTGAAATAACTTGAAAACCCCTATATTGCTTTGTATTTTTTTCTTTAATATCGATTGATTTATAGAAAAAGTTTATATAAGATTGCAACCTTAAAATGTTGAATTACAGATGCACCTCAAAAATGTATTACAAAAAATTGTTTTAATATTAAAAAACTCTCTAATTGATTATCTCGACATCAAGATGTATGAATATGAAAAAAAAAAGTATTTTGAGTTTCAAAAATAGCGTATCTTACACCACAATATCCGGACCATACATGTTCAAGATTTTCATATGTTTATAAATCTTCTTGATTTTAACCATTTTTAGAGTTTAAAAATTTATAACTAGATATAAAAATAAAATTTCAGATAATCCTAAAAATATTTTACACCAAAATTATATGTTATGAAAAAATTTGGAGGTGCACCTTAATTGGGCTGTTTAAAGTCGCTAGGAACCACACCCTTGATTTATTGAATAATAGAGGTAATATTGATGAATTGTGTAAAATCTAATATTTTTCTCTAGTTTATCAACAATAATAATATTTTGATTATTATTTTTATTTTAAGATATTGAAATAACTTGAAAACCTATATATTCCTTTGTCTTTGTTTTTTTTTTTTATTTGATTTATTGCATCATAGAAATAATATCGATGAACTATGTAAAATCTAATATTTTTCTCTAATTTATCAACAATAATATTCTGATTATTATTATTTTAAGATATTGAAATAAAATACAACCCCCCAAACGAATACAAGACCTCTTATAGACTCACGAGATATAAACTCCAAAATAAATCCAAACCATTAATAAGTATAGAGTTAAAAAATATATATTTTAGTTATGAAAAATAAAACTCTAAAATAAAACCAAGCCATTAATAAAAATAAAGTTAAAACATAAATCCAAACCATTAACAAATAGAGTAAAAAATATATTTTTTAAGAGAGTTATAGAAAAAAAAAAACGGCTCCAAAATGCACTAAGAAACATAGACAATAGAAATGGAACTCACAACCCATTTAAAGGTAGAAGACTATGAGTACTAACGCATTTGGCACACATAGCTATAGGTGAAATGGTGCCTCCATTTTTATATACACAAGCAACAGGGGTGTGGGCATTGGAGATCCCATTTTTATATGTTATGATAAAATTTGAAGGTGCACTTAATTGAGTTGTTTAAAGTCGTTAGAAACCACACTTTTTGATTTATTGCATCATGGAGATAATATTGATGAATTGTGTAAAATTTAATATTTTTTTAATTTATCAACAATAATAGTATTCTAATTTTATATTGTTATTTTAAAATATTAAAAGAACTTTAAAACTCATATATTACTTTGTATTTGTTTGCTTCAATATCGATTGATTTATTGCATCATAGAAATAATATCGATAACATCGATGAACTGTATAAAATCTAAATTTTTTTTCTAATTCATCAACAATAATATTCTGATTATTATTATTTTAAGATATTGAAATAAAAAATATAACCCCCAATCTAATATTTTTTTCTAATTCATCACCAATAATATTCTGATTATTATTATTATTTTAAGATATTGAAATAAAAATGTGACCCCCATATCGAATACAAGAGACCTCTTATAGACTCACGAGAATACAAGAGACCTCTTATAGACTCACGACATATAAGCTCCATCAATAAATAAAAAGTTAAAAAATATATTTTTTAATTATAAAAAAAAAACTCTAAAATAAAGCCAAGCCACAGTTAAAACATAAATCCAAACCCTTAACAAATATAGAGTAAACAAAAATATTTTTTAAGAGAGTTATAAAAAAAATAAAAAAGCTCAAAAAAAAAAAAAAGACAATAGAAATGGAGGTCACATCCCATTATTAAAAGGTAGAAGAAACTCACAATCCATTTATTGTTGAAACGGTGCCTCCATTTTCACATACAAGCGCAACAGCGGTGTGGGGATTGGGTGTTGGGGGTGGATGACTAGCACGGGCAAGCTACCACAAAGCCACTTTGAATAGACGCTGCGCCTCATTATATATATCTAATGGAAAAAGTTTATACAAGGATGGAACCTTACGATCTAAAACTATGGATCCACTACAAAAATCCAAACTACGGATGCACCTCAAAAATCCATCGGAAGAAATGGATGCACCTCAAAAATCCATCGAAAAAAATAGTTTTAATGTTGAAAAACCTTTGAACATCGTATGATCATAAAAAATAAAAAAATTTTAAATCTAAAAAATAATACATTTTACAACATATTATCTACACCGTCTATTTTCAAAATTTTTGTACGCTTACCGACCTATTTAATTTTAACCATTTTTCAAATTTTAAATTTTATAACTAAATATAAAAATAAAATTTGAAATAATCTTAATAACATTTTAACAACAAAATTATATAATTATATAAAATTTGAAGGTACACCTTGCCTCTACACCCATGGATGCATCGGTATGCCAACTGCACCATATCTAATTATTTTAGGTGAGTTTTGTTTTTTTTTAAAAAAGCTTGACTCGACCGAAGGACTCGGTCTAATTATTTTAGGTGATTTTTGTTTTTTTAAAAAGAGCTTGACTCGACCGAAGGACTGGGACTCGACCGAGTACGTTGCCTTGGCTAATGCTAGCTAACGCAATCCATACATGGGATTGTTGGAGGGTCTTCTCCTCCCCTTTAAAGTTGGAGAGTTAATGCTAGCTAGCTACCTAACGCAATCCAGTAATTACATGAACGAAAACAGAAACGAAATATCAACATCTACAGGGAAGCGAATTTCTTGGGCCGAGCCATACAATCTAACAAGAAACAAGGGCCATTCCATCGCTCATTTGACAAACAAACATACGAAAACAAAGCTAAATTATACATCAAACAAACACTTGAGATAATCCCAAACCAAACCATTGGAAACCCGCAAACTTTCTATTCTTTTATTTGACAGTCCCACCTTCAACTTAACCAAACTCCATTAAATTCTTAGCCGGAGATCTCAATGGGCTTGACTTCATGCTTCTTCACCTCCTCTTTAGGCATATTCACAGTCAAAACCCAATTCTCCATTGAAGCACTCACCTGATCAGACTTTGCTTTTCCAGGCAACCTGAAACGCCTCAGGAATTTACCTATGCCTCTCTCTACCTTGTGCCATGTATCATTCTTCTCCTCTCTTTCTTTCTTCCTCTCTCCACTAATTTCGAGAATTCGATCGTCTACGACCTCGACTTTCACTTCCTCTTTCCTTAATCCTGGTAAAAAGTTTTCCAATATCCAAACAACCTTTTATGATGGATTTTTGTGGTTCATCTTTAATTCTACATTTTAAGATTGCAACCTTATATAAACTTTTTCCTTGTACAAGGCGCCTTCGTATTATAGAAGCAATGGATTTTTGAGGTGCATCTTTAATTCTACATTTTAAGATTGCAACCTTATATAGACTTTTTCCTTGTACAAGGCGCCTTCGTATTATAGAAGCAAGGTGCATCTCCAAAATTTTATTGCGAATGTAATTCTAATTTTTGGAGTTCGAAATTTTATAATTAGAGATAAAAATAGATTTTCTCATCATCTTAATAATTTTTAATGCCAAATTGTATCTTATGACAAAGTTTGGAGGTGTATTTTACTTTGATTGTTTAAGTTCGCAACCGTATACAAATTACATCTATCTTATAAGGGTCTCAACAATCAAATTAAAATGTACCTTCAAATAGTGTCGATTTGTGATAGCCTTAAAATATATTCTTTCATCTTCAATTATAGAATTTAAAGCTTAAAAAATAGTGCAGATCGAACAGATCCACAAAAACTTGAAAATTTTGAAAATTAACAGTTCAAAAATACGTTACAGGATGCATTAATTCCAAAACTAGAAATCCATATTTTTCTCAGATCCATACATCTTGAAGTCGAGATGATCAATTTGAGGAAATTTAAGCATCAAAACAAACTCTTCTAGTGAAATTTTTGAGATGGGCTTTAATTTGCTGGTCTAGAGCATCGGCTCTATATAAACTTTTCCATCTTATAACGACTCCAAAAATTTATATTTATCTTTAGTTATGGAATTTTGAGATCTAAAAATAATACAGATCAAATAAATTTATAAATATTTAAAAATTTTGAAAAATAGACAGTCCAAATATCTTGTTATAAGATGCACGATTTTTAGAATATATATATATATATATATATATATATATATATCAACACATCTCGAAGTCAAGATAATCAGTTTGAGGGTTTTCCAATATCAAAACACCATCTTCTATAGGATTTTTGAGGTGCACTCTTCTTCAATAGTATAAAGTTGCGGCCTTATTTTAAGTCTTTCCCTTAAACAAACGGGTGGAGGACATAAATCAGGTTTGGTTGATTTGGAAATTGAGAGCGAGGCCATGTAAATTGTCATGTGTTAACTGCTAAGAATGTCGTCTCATTTCCCTCGAATGAACTTATGGCACGAACAAAAGAAACGTGCAATATGAAACGACGGGTGTATTTACACAGGACAAGTCATTCATCAGTCAGCGGGTGTAATTTTTCCCAAAAAAAATCATATATTAAAAGGCTGTGGTTGCATTAGATCATTTTCTTAAAACAAAATAAATATTATGTTTTTATTAATTCTGTATAAATCTGAATTTAAGAAAATATTATTTTTTAGAAAATTAATTAATTAATTAATTCTTTATTTCTGAATTTTAATTTTCAAAAATACGTCATTAAGGTTTTTCTTAATTTTTAGATATTGAAAATTTGAAGTTAAGATACAATTACTTTTAAAAATAACATAAGAAAAAATTTATTTTTATAAAATCAATTAAATTTTTTATTTCAGAATTTTAATTTTAAAAAATATGTCATTAAGATTTTTCTAAATTTTTTGTTATTAAAAATTTAAAATTAAGATCCAATTTATTTCTAAAAATAACATAGTCTTACTTTCATATTTTTTAATAAAATTAACAAAGTTCTTATTTTGTGATTTGTAATATTTGAAATTAGAAAATTAACATTGTCCAGATATTTGGGAGGCGTCAGATTTGAAATTTTACATATTTTTTGTAGTTTTTTTTAATACCAATAATTTTGATTTCTCATTTTGGTATTGTATAATATTTGATTTCTTATAGGGTGCAGTTGGCATACGGACGCATCTGTAGCTGTAGAGGTGAGGTGCACCTTCAAATTTTATAATGGTATGTAATTTTGAAGTAAAATGTTCTTAGGATTATTTCAAAATGTATTTTTATATCAATTATAAAATTTTAAATTTAAAAAATGGTTAAAATCAAGTAGATCTATAAACATATGAAAATCTTGAAAATGGACAATGTAGATAATATGTTGTAAAATACACTATTTCTGAGACTTAAAATCTTTTATTTTTCATGGTCATATATATTGACGTCGAGATGATCAATCAAAGGGTTTTTTAACATTAAAATTACCTTTTCCGATGATTTTTGAGGTGCATTTCGTTGCATCCTTATATAAACTTTTTCCTTTTTTATATGCTTTTAGATCTTTTTTAATTACACTTATTTATATGTCTCATCATGCTTTTAAAATTCATTTATGGACCACGTCCGTTTCGCTAGTAAAAATAAAAATGAGCGTTTATAAATTATAAGGTGGGAATTTGGAAGGTAGTTAAAAAAACCTTCAAAGAAAAGCGCAAAGAGAAAGGGAACAAAAAGTATAATAGGCAGGGCCGATGAATTCCGATCCCGATTGACGATCTAGATCGGAAATTGCTAGGTTTTATAACATTAATTACGACCTTAAACAACCAAAGCAAGGTATATCTCAAAAAGTTGTTATGAGATAATAGTTTGGTATCAAAAGGTTTTAAGATAGCTGAGAATTTAATTTTCATCTTTAATTATAAAAAAGACTGTATAAACAATTGAAAATCGTAAAAATAAACAATGAAATAATATATTATATGTGTATTATTTTTTAAATTTAGACATCTTTTTCATAAATGGCATCTTGAAGTTGAGGGAATTAATAGAGGGCTCTTTAACATCGAAATAATATTTTCTATGAAATTTGAGATGTGCTTTAATTCTATAATATAAAATTGACACGTCATTAAGTCCTTCACCTTTTTGTCTTGGTAGATGTCGATTTTTCAAATGGCTTTGTTCTCTTTTTACTAGTGTTTTAAGACCTGTTTCTCCCCGATCAGGAATTGTCAACTTGGATTAGGAATCATTTGGCGTCGAACAAAATTCTAGGAAGGTTTTGGTGTTAGTTTCGTCCCCTCAAACCCTATCCATATTTTTTATTTTTGTTCTTCAAGATTATCTAATGTTTTACTAGGTTCACCACTTACAAGGCCCAATAAACCCTAAGTTTTGTTTTTTATATGTATTTGATTTTTAATATATTTTTTATTGTTGATTCAGTTTGAACCGGATAAACAATCCTGGGATCTAATATGGATGTGTGCACGACGAAACCCACCGGTCCAGATTTTGAAACGCTCTTTTCCTGTTCCGAATACTATGCCATTCCATTTGTTTCGGATAATGGACGAAAGTACGGCAGGTGGCAGAAAGGTCTGGAAGCCCATTCCTGTTCCTCATCCGTCCCATTGCATGGAAATGGAACGAGGAGGCTACCAGATTCCACCTTATACAAATAAAAATCATTATTAAAGTGAGAAGAAATTGGGAAAGTGAAAACAAGGAAACCAATGTGAATGAGAAAGAGAGAAGGTAGGGCAATCATTTTATGCAACGATTGTATGGTAATATGATGCAACAATTTAAAAAAATTATGTTATGGCCATTTGTTTGATCCAAAATTTGAAATATACACTCTTTTCATTCTAATAAACAATCGCAAAAAAAAAATAAATTGAAAACACAATCTAGAAAGTACTTTTTTAGTTCGATTAACATAGGCCGTTCATTTTGATGAGATGTTTAGATCTAGGTTTTAGAAATATTTCTTTCATTTTCAATGTTTTTGGATGGCTTTATTATCATTGATGAACAATGTTAAAAAAGGAAAAAAAATGAATTTGAGTTTATAAAGGTTAAGATCTTGAAATTCACCAAATGAATGGTCTAGATCGTTTTTGAAGGGGGCTCATTTTGATCATATCTAGGGTTCAAATTAAACTTTTTTATTTTTTAGGATTGATTATTGATATGAAAAAAGTGTGTGTGCAAAATTTTGGGTCATACAAATACCGCAAACATGGTTTTCTAGAAGTGTTGTTGCAGTATACTGTAATACAACTGTTGCATAAAATGCGCCATATTGTGTTTCAACAATCGAGAAAAAAAATTTTTCAAGGGAAAAATTAGATGCTATATTAATAATATCTACTCTATGTAACACAATCTTTGGATGGCGATACAGATGGTTTTGCCAACAAGACCTCTTAGCTTGTTTGCTAAAAAAAATCTACATAATATTTATAAAAATCATTGAATCCCTAAAATTGATCGAGAAACGCCACGGTTACTGGTGAATCCTTATCTAAATCGGCAATGTTTGAAACACTCGTGCCAAGTTGTACTTTCTTTTATTAAGCAGTGAGCACACTAGCCATCAAACCGATTAGAGATTTGGTTTAGTCAAAATTGGTCTTATTGTCAGTTACACTAATTAGATTGGATCAAAAAATATAAAAATGTCAAAATATATAATGTATTAATAAATTTTTTGTATTTTTGTAGTTGGTCAAATTAGTCAAAACTAGTTAGTCAGACCCGTCAAAACTACTCAAATGGTAATTTAATCAAATTTTAAATATAATCATTTTAACTTAAGGTCGGATCAACTAAGGAGCAAGAGTCCAATCTGATTTTGATGGTTATGTACTTGAGCTTTGGTACGAAATCATCCGACTCGAAAATTGGTCACCCTATTTTGGTTTACGTATATATAAGAAAACAACCGAGTCAAAAAGGGAACTTGCGGTTTTGCACAGTAAAACAACGATTCTTTACAGTAAAATGGCGATCCAGACTATCGATTCACCAATCCCAACTAATTTTTACCGGTTCGCTATTTTTTCACATGTTATTTTTTTTGCACAATAGAATCGCAATCCAGACCGTCAATTTTGCACCAATTTGGGGTGCCCGAACTCGGTAACGGCAAATTTGAGAGTTGAAGACGAAAATGGCACTTTGCTTCTTTTTTTTCCCTTAAAAAAATACAAACCGAAATAAACTTGTGCCACAACCAACCATTAGATTCAAGTCATTAAACAAACAAATCGAGTGCACTCTAGAACATCCTCAATTAAAAAATTTGATGTCTGGAAACATCAAGAAAACTTTTCCTCGGCTATAAATACATAACCTCTTCTCGATTCTATATCGCAAAAGAGCAATAGCCATTCTGAAATCTCCATATTTCCCCCTTCAATTCTCTTTATTTCCAGCATTCTCACTCCAAGCTCCATTATTTCAACGATTTCTTCTTCTCCTTTACTCTGCAAAAAATGTCACTGATTCCTGCCTTCTTTGGTCGCAGGACCAACGTTCTAGACCCGTTTTCTCTAGACATTTGGGACCCTTTCCCCAGTTTCCTGTTCCCCTCAAATTCTCTCTCTGCAGAAGCCTCTACCTTCGCTAACACTCGAATTGATTGGAAAGAGACTGAAAATGCCCATGTTTTCGAGGCCGATTTGCCGGGACTGAAGAAAGAGGAGGTGAAGGTGGAGGTCGAGGAAGGCCGGGTTCTAAAAATCGGTGGAGAGAGAAAGAAAGAATCGGAGGTGCAGAATGATAAGTGGCACAGGATAGAGAGAAGTCGGGGCGAATTCCTGAGGCGATTCAGGCTGCCCGAAAACGCCAAGGTTGATCGGGTGACGGCTTCGATGGAGAATGGGGTCTTGACTGTGATTGTGCCCAAAGAGGAGGTCAAAAAGCCTGAAGTTAAGGCCATTGAGATCTCTGGCTGAGAATTTTCGATGATTTTTGCTGTGTTCTTTTGTTTGTGTTTTGGATTTTATCTTTCTATGTTTGAACTTGATTTCGTTTGGGTGAGTCATGAATGTTTCTGCATCAATGGTCTTTCTTACAGTTGTTGCTTTATTGTAGTCCTTGCATGACTCATGGTTCTTTAAATAAATGGTAACATCCATCTCTTTACCTACACTTTTAAGAGAGAGGCTCTCCTTTCATTCGTTCCACCAATATAACTGACATCCATCTCTTTACATTTACATTCTGGAAGGCTTTCTACGTGACCGCACCCACATATATAATATAAAAAATTATTTTATAGGGACTTTTTATGTGTAGTACTCAAAAGGATAATCAATTAAATTTGACATAGATCTATATAAGTCAAATTCCACATTAGAGATCTGTGTCAATTTTAATGGTTATCCTTTGAGAGCTTACATACATGGGTGGGGGAGGGTCTTATAAGATCGTTATTCTATATAATATGTGTGACCTTTAGTCCCAGACATCAGATCTAAATAATTGGCTAAAATAGCTCGAGTTATAATATCACAAATTAGCTTTTAACGGTAAGATCTCGATCAAATGGTTGAGAGTTTTTTAGTTTTAAATTTTATTATATAAATCATTTTAAAGCACATATAATATAATTGACCTTTAGTATCCACCATTAAATCTAAATAGATGGCTAAAATGGCTCAAGTCATAATGTCACAAATTAGCTTTTAACGGTAAGATCTTGATCAAATGATCCAGAGTTTTTAGTTTTAAATTTTATTATATAAATCATTTTAAAGCAAAATTTGGGTTTGAATAGATCTAATAGGGGCGCATATGATAAAAATATTAATAAAATATTTTCAATGATGAATAATTACCATAATAGCTCTGAAAACTATAGGGGCATTTTGGTCATTTAGTTTTATAAAAAAAATTTATTTTTTATTTTTTCAAGTTGGTTCTAATTTTATGATGAGACGCTCAAAATTCAGTAAAAAATATTTGTAAAAAAAAATGAAAAATAAACTAGTGTTTTACTTGACATTGGAGTACGAACAATCGTAGCCATTCGATTTAGATCGAATGGCTGAGAAGTGGAGTCCCATATAACTTGTATGTTGTTGGGTCACTTAGAAACATTTCTTTTACATAATTGACCCCCGAGATTTTTTTTGGATCTGGCTTTAGATTTGGATCTCGGTTGTTTTGGATCCAAATCCAAATAGTATATAGATCTATATCCGGAGCTAGGTTTAATTGGATCCACCCTTGGATATTCATTTGGATCCGAAAACAATATATAGGATCTGCATATAATATGGATCTAAAAACTATATATGAGATCCAGATTAGGTCTTCTAAAATTTTTAAAAGTATATATATTATATATAAATCAATACATATATAACTATATATAACTTTATAAAATTATATATACTATTTAAAAAATCGGGTTAGATCCGGATTGCATCCACTTGTACTCAAATCCAATCTAATACGGATCTAAAATTTGGATTCGACTCTAAATCTTGAATCCATATCGGATCTGAATAGAATTTAAAATTCAGGTTTTGAATTCAAATCGGGTAAGTTGTCTGCCCTACTTCTCTAGCGACCTACTCCCATGTTTAAATGGATCTTCAACTTACCATCTAAAGGTCCTGAGCCTAAATCTACTAATTACCTAAAATAAGGCAACGATAATAGCGATAGGTTATCGTAAATCTTTCCAACCAATAAAATTAGGAGATACAATATTTAGCCTGATCTTGATAAAAAATAATTTCAAAACAAGATGCCCAAACAGACTTTGTATTTCTAAGTTGGTACTTGAGACCAATTTTGTCAGATCTTTGTGCTGCGCTAGCCGCTCCCGCCGGCCCATCCCCTCCGGCGTGTATGTGGGTCGGTGATAACACTCGACACTCCTCCTCAGTGGCTCTATGCTCATGATGCCGAGTTGTCCTCTGAACTTCCACAAACTTAGAAAAATGCAATTCTTTTGTGAACACGTCCACAAATTGCTCCTCTGTAGCCACTAGTAAGAGATCGATATATCTTTTCAACACTTTTGCTCGGATGAAGTGGCATTGCATGTTAATGTATTTCGTCTTTACATGAAACACCGGATTATGCACGAGTCCAGTCACACTCCCACTGTTGCAGTGCAGTCTGACTGCGTAATCTGTATCTTGCTTAAATCATGCATAAGCTGCATTAGCTATATGCACTCTTGAGCTGCCAAAGATGTTGCTCGGTACTCGGCCTCTATTAGTAGGCAAGATACTGTCGGTTGCCTCTTATTGCACCAAGAAATTTCTCTTGCCCCCAAGCCAAAGATATACCTTGTAGTTGATCTGCGAGTTGTCCAGTTGCCCGCATAATTTGAACCACAAATGCCGACTACTTCATACATGGAACCGGAGAATCCCATAGTCCATCGTACCTTTTCCGTACTGCAAAATATCCAAGGTCTCTGTATAGACCTGCTCACGGGTCCCAGTGTGTGAGCTATCTTGAGTCATGAAAGAGTCAATCCATACATCTGTGAGCTCCTCACCCACAACACTTACTCAACTTCCCATTGACTTCAGCAAGTGTTGAGGTAGCTTTGTAGTTCTCCATCCTGAATTTGTGGAACAAGTTCACTATGTATTTTTTTGGCATAAGAATAAACCCTTTTTGCATTGGTCTACTTCCAAGCCAACAACGTGATTAAGCATCTCATCTCCATCTTGAACCTGAAGAAAGGCTCTCAACAAATGTGCTTGATCTTGGCCCCATCATCATCATGTGTGATGATCAAGTCGTCCATATAGGCTAGTCAAATTGCTAGCTTTCCTGCTTCTTCCTTCACAAAAAGCTTGAATCTGTAGGTGCTATAGTGTACTTGCTAAATACCAAGAACTTGATGATCTTCCCATTAAAGCTTGAATCTGTAGGAGCTATAGTGTACTTGCTAAATACCAAGAACTTGATGATCTTCCGATACTATGTTCGTGGAGCTTGTTTCAATCTATACAAAACCTTTCATAGCTTATACACATGTTGCGCCTTTCTCCACACTCGTGACTACTCCATGTAAATCTCAAACAATAATTCACCATGTAGAAAGTGGTCTTCATGTCCATCTTCCGGAGCTTTCATGTGTTGCTTGCCACGAGCACAACCAACACTTGCATAATTACGATCTTTGTAACTGGGCTAAAAGTCTCATCAAAATCCACACCCTACCGAGTGAAAAACCTTGAGCAGCCAATTGTGCGCTTGTAGGAATAATGCCATCTAACCACCATTTTACGTTGTACACCGATTTACATGAAACATGCTTAACATTTTTTGGTCATGGGACTAGCTCCTACATCTCGTTGTTCTTAATGAATCTCCTCTCACATTGCAGCCCGATAGTTAAGAACACCCATTACCTCATTAAACAAGGTTGGCTCTTTAACTTCAAGATCATTAAATACACCACACTACATAAGTGACTCTTTTTGTTTTTTTTTGGGGGTAATTCAGTGGCGATGACGATCCCCTACTTGTTTTTCAAAATTTTAATGGTTTTTTAATGTGTTAGGTGAGAATGGAAGCCTAGATCTTAGCTGGGGCACATGTGGTACTACTATCACGCCCCCAACTCTATTATCTAAAGGGTAAATAAGTGGTGATTTGGGCCCCTACCTTTTGGTGATAATGGTGATAGAGACTTCATTATAGGGCTCGTCGGTACTACCGTCATGGCCCCAGTCCATTCTCAGAATTTTTTTATCCTTTTTTTTAGTGGGGAAGGCCTGAGATTCCCCCCTCTACCCTGGGTAGGAATCAAGCCTGGGAATTAGGCTTGACTATTTTCAGTGCTAACCAATCCACCGTGGGCTATTTCCCTAAACTACACAAGTGACTCCTCTTGTGCAGATGCGACTTTTGTGTACTTTGAATTCAGTTGTTGATGCACGAGCTTGTTCGTAATATCATTTGCCATACATGCGCGCCCTACAAACAAAGTATACTTCTCGTCCATTTGATGCACAAGCATGATCCATTCGCCCTCAATTTTCACTTTCTCAAACACTTTGACACCGTCCGGTCCAAACATCACATAGTGTCCTGCAACAGTGATTTGCATTATCGACTTTCAAATTGTTCGACATTCTAGAACATAATGCATGTCCCCTCTCACAAGAAGCTTTGCTGGATCTGTTGTTGAGGATTGATGTCTTGTATTCTGAGGTACAAACCATGAAAAAAAGCAAAACACCCACTAGAAACATAACAAAAGCTGGATAAATAAAACCTTTACACATTCATATACAGTCTCCAAAGTCATAACAAAATCCAAATGATTACAATTCATCCAAGGCACCAAAAGCCAAACTCATGCTTAATTCAATACTTCATTCATGCTTAATTCAATACTTCATTCATGCTTAAATCCATGCTTTCACATAATAGTATGATCCACTTACCTAAGAGCAAAGGTGCCTTCTCTAAACCTTCTTTCACAGCATTCTCTTGCTCCAACAATGACTGCCTCCCACAGAAGTTCTCCATAATTTTGTCTTAGAGAGAGAGAAGAGATGAGAGAGAGAGATGTGAGGGAAAGGAGAGAGATGGAGAGGGTTGGGGTTTTAAAGAGAAATGGAGGCGAGGGGTGAGGTGGCAACATGTCACCTCCAAGTGGCATGTGCCATGGCATGCAAAGCCATGTGTAAGGGGAGAGAAAAGGAGGAGGAGAGAGAAAAGGAGGAGGGAAAAGAAGAGTAGTCCCTCAAGGACTACCCTACACCAACTGTCTCGGTAGTCTAACCCACTCTTCTTTCTTCACAGCTGACAATACACAGCCGGCACGAACTTATCTCTCTTCCGCCAGCGTTACCCCCTCACTTCATAGCCTGCGTTAGTCCTTTTCATGCACAACATTCCTCCTTTGACGCGTGCGACGTTATCTCTTTCCTTTGTTCACGCATGGCGCTGTCTCACTCTCCTCCCATGTAAGTCTTTTTCTTTACTCTGACTTGGGCAAAATATTGGGTCGTTACATCATCCCCCCCCCCCCCCCAAAAAAAGGGATTTTGTCCTCAAAATCTTATACATGATCCTCACATAAATTGGGGTTTAACAATAACATTGCACTCCAAAC